TCGACAAGAAAAGTGAGGTCAACCAATACAAATGCCCCCTAAGGGTTCTACAGATCGGCACAAGGCCCCAAACATGGCAACTAGCCCATAATATAATGATAATAATTAAGTCTCAGTCAAAAGTACAGTAGAGTCTTCAAACGGGATGGACCGAGTCCAAATCCCCAGTAGTAATAGACCCCACGCTCATCATACAACGTGTGTCTCATCTCAGCATAGCACCATGTTGTGCAAATCCGGGGTTTCAAACCTTCAGAACATCATTTATAACCATTACTCACCTCAAGCAGGCCGAATCCTAGCTCGCTACTCCTTTGCCTCGCAAATCAACCTCCTCGAGCATCAAATCTGATCAAAACCACAAGTAATACGTTACAATAGGCTAAGGGAATACAACCCAATCGAAAAGACTCGAAAAATATCGAAAATCACAAAGTTGGCAAAACCCGAGCCCCAGGCCCACTTCTTGAAAAAATCAGAAAATTGACAGCACCGGATTCCTTATCTCTCCACGAGTCTATACATATCAAATTTACCGAAATCCGAGCTCAAATGCTCCCTCAAACCCTCAAATTTCTATTTCAAAAGTCAAGCCCTAATCCTTCCCTTTTTAATCAAATTTCCATGAATTTAGATGTTGAATCTACAATTAAATAACATTTATAGGCCATAGGACTCACCTCCAATCGATTTCCAGTCAAAACCCTCTTTAATAATCGTCAAAAGCTCCCAAGGTTACTCAACAATGGAGGAAATGGGACTTGGTTCGCGGGTGGAATGTTTATTAAAACCCTTCTGTCAGCCCAGATTTTGCTCTATGCGATCGCATCCAAGCCTCTGCGATCGCATTGCTCAACTTTTCCAGGCCTCCAAAATGTCCTATGCGAACGTGACCCCTTAACTGCGATCACACTGCTTCACCAATCAAACCTACGCGATCGCATACACTACTCCGCGATCGCATTGAACAAAGTACCCCTCAGAACCTCAAGTCCATTTAACACTACGCGATAGCATTACTCCTCATGCGATTGCAATGAACATTCAGAACGGCCTTCCCCAAACCTTCTATGCGATCGCAATTGCACTCCTGCGATCGCAGCGAACAAAAATGTTCTGCAACACTCAGCTGAAATCTGCAACTTCAAAAACCAAGATTGGTCCGTTTGACCATCCAAAATCACCCCGAGGCCCCCGGGACCTCAACCAAAAGTGCCAACCCATCCTAAAACATTATTCAAACTTGTTCCAATCATCAAAACACCACAAACAACACCAAAACCATCAAATTACATCGGATTCAAACCTAAATTTCTTAAAAACTTCCGAAATACGCATTTGATCAAAAACCCGACCAAGACACCTACGAATGATCTGAAATTTTGCACACACATCCAAAATCACCTAACGAAGCTACTGCAACNAGTCACAAACAACCTGTTGCGGCATGCAGCCCGATCCCATAAATATCCTCACAGATCAGGCCATTGGCCTCACTCAGTCATAAATCAGTAACAACATTCTGCGACATGCAGCCCGATCCCATAAATATCCTCATAGATCAGGCCCTCAGCCTCACTCAGTCATCAATCTCCCAGTCTCTCGGGCTCTCAAAAATCATATAAATAGCCCAAACAGAGGTAATTTCATGTATCAACAATGAACATCAAGAGACAGAGGCATAATAAGCAAGAAAAGCTATGACTGAGTACAAAACAACAATTAACAGCTAATTCAGTAAGCACACGACCTCACAGGTCTTAACAGTGATCACCTAAGGCCTAAACATGATTTCTAACATGAAGTACAGTCAATTTCTATGAAAACAGAGGGAACATGTATTAAACAGTAGGCTAATTAATTCCACAGTCTTGCGGGACGGACCAAGTCACAATCCTTACGGTGCACGCCCACACGCCTGTCACCTAGCATGTGTTTCACCTCTAAAATAGTCATACGACATAATGTCCGGGGTTACATACCCTCAGGACCAGATTTATAACCATTACGTACCTCAATCCGAGCCAAATCCTACTCCACAGTGTCTTTGCCTCTCAAATCAGCCTCCAAACGTCCTGAATCTAGCCATAATTAACTAGATTCATTCAATACATATTATAGGAATTAATCCCATATAAAACTACTAATTTCCAACAAAAATCCAAAATTAACCCAAAAATCGCCTGTGGGACCAACGTCTCAGAACTCGACAAAAATCACATAATAGAAGCCCCATCCAACCATGAGTACAGCCATACAAATTTTACCAAAATCCGACATCAACTCGACCGCCAAATCTCAAATCAAATTTTGGGAAAAATCTCGATCCCAATCTCCCAAATCATGAAATAAGTGCTACAAAATAAGGTTAGATTCATGAATAAGGGACCAAATCAAGTTAAGATCACTTACCGCAGTCCAATTTGTGAAGTTTGCCTTTGAAAATCGCCCAAACCGAGCTCCCCAACTATGTTTTTGTCAAAAATGGCCAAAGACCCCCTTTTTATTGAGTTTTTACGATTCGGGCGCCATAGGTGGTGCTAGGTACTGCCTGTGGTGCTGATTCTAGTATCCAAGCAGATCCCGGCGCTAGGGATAGCGCCTGGCTCTACCCTAGGCGCTGGCGATGGAAAATTATTTTTCCCGCATACGAAAATGTGCATAACTCACTCATACAATGTCCGAATTTGACGATTATTTTTGCTATGGCTTCAAAATTTTGATACGGATCTAATGCTTCAATCAAAACTGAATTTGGATCTTATTTTCTTAATGTGATACTACTTATTCTTGAAGAACGACATCGAAACATTCTTGAAATGCCCAAGTTAAACCCAATAACCATCAAACTCCAATCGAGGCCCTCGGGACCTCAACCAAATATATTAACAAGTCCTAAAACATCATGCCGACTTACTCGGAGTTTAAAATCATGCCAAGCAACGTCGAAAATACAATTCACACCTCGATTCAGACTTATGAGTTTCAAACTTTTCCTTTTACAAAGCGCGTGCCGAAATGTATCAAATGAATCCGGAATGACTTCAAATTTTGCACACAAGTCATTTTTGACATAATGGAGTTGTTCAAATTTTCATAATCGGATTCCGATCCCGATATAAAAAAATCAACTCTCGGTCAAACTTTCCAAAAATCATCTATTTCCCAAGTTTCGCCAAAATGTGCCGAATTATCCTACGGACTTCCAAATCCGAATCCAAATATGCGCATACCGGGCCCGTTTACATATAATCGTTTATATTGGAATCATCGAAATTCGAATCCGAGATCGTTTACATATAAGTCAATATCCGGTCAACTTTTCCAACTTAAGCTTTCAACTAAGAGACTAAATGTCTCAATTCATTTCAAAACCACACCGGGCCCGAACCAATTTCCCCGACGAATCATTTAACGATTGTAAAGCATGGATTTAGTAGTAAATGGGGAAATGGGGTTGTACTATTCAAAACGACCGGCTGGGTTGTTACATTTAAGAAAACAAATTTGATTTGTTAAGTTGCAAATTAGTTGTGTACAACTTTATTGGCATGTGATTGAAATTAAGGCTTGAGAATGAATCTCAATATTGTTTAGCCTATTATGCCATTGATTGAGGGTAAGACATTGGGACAAAGCCCTGATGCTCCATAATGATAAGAGTTAGGTTTGAATCCTAATTTATTATGGCCTAACATGTCTTTATATTGATAAGACATTGGGTTTGAGACTCAATGTACCATATTGATGATATAATGATGACTAAAGAAAAATAATATATTTTTCATGAAAAGGCATGAAGATTGTCCCACTTGATTAGCTTCATTCTTGAAGTGAATGTGGTAGCAGTGCATAATAAGTCTAAATGAAGACAAGTGATTGAACAATGTGTGAGCATGTGATTTTCGCCCTATATGAGAATCACTCCCAAAAATTCACAATAAAACAATTTTCCTTTGTGTACAATGTTTGTATTTTTGTGGTATTTTGTATAATTATTTGTATTTTTGTCTGTGCCTGTTTATTTGTTTAAATTAATAAAAATATAAAATATGTCGCATTTTCATTTAGTATTTATTTAAGTTTGTTTTACAAAAATGAGAAAATTAGAAAAAAATAATGTGCGTTGCATTTTTAGCATTTAACGTCTAAATTGTGCGATTTTATCGTTAATTACTATTTAAATGTGCGATAATAATTATTTGGAATTAATTAGTATTTTTTATAAGTTAATTTAGTTTATAAGTTAATTTATAATTTTAGTTTTAATTAATTAGGAAGTACAAGAAAAGAGAGCAAGAATATAAAAGAAAATCGGAATTAGGCCTCTTCTTCAATTTTGAACCACATGCCCAAATATACCCAACCTTCCTTTACGACCCGGTCCATTCCAAACTGGGTCGACCCAGTCCATAACCCCAAAGACCCAACACCCCTATTTCCCTATCTTTCATTTAAAAAACAAAACCCTAAAAAATGTTCACTGTTGAAAACTCCCATCCGCCCCCTCTCTTACCTTCTTCTTCTTCAAACCTCCAAATCCTCTCCCATGGCTGCCCTTCCCCTCGCCCAACTACCACCCCCTCCAGCCCTTTCCCCTACGTCAAACCTCCATCACCTCGCGACCAAACAACCACCTAGAGCAGCCACCTGCTGCCGCTGCTTCATCTTCTTCGCTTCATCATCAAGCTCGAGCTCCATGTTCACCGCCTCGCTAGCTCCTTCGGCTATGCTGCTGCTACGTTCTTCATCCTTGCTGCCATGGCTGCGTCAAGCTCCCTGCTGCGCGTCTCCTTCTTCTTCTCCGACACTGCGGCTGCTACGTTCTTCATCCTCGCTGCCATGGTTGCGTCGAGCTCGTCGAGCAGCTGCTCCGCTACTGCTGCTCCGTCACTGCTGCTGCCTGATGTTTCTTCTTCTCCAGTTTCGCGCGGCCATGGCTGCTTTGTTGCTGCTGCTTCAGTTCTCGTCGATCGCCGTTGCCTCATATTCCAACTCCTCTACTGCAGTTCAATTCCAGATTCCCTCGTTAGTTTATGGTCCAACGGAGACTACACGTTTGTTGGGGTTGGAGTTGAGAACGATGTGGAGAAGTTGGTTGAAGATCACGAGCTTACCGTGAGAAATATGGCGGATTTGAGAGTTTTGGCAGCTGATGCATATGAGATGAGTAATTTGAAAACTGCTGGGTTGAAGGAGCTATGCAATGTTGTTCTTGGAAGAGAGATTGAGAAGCCTAGACATATTACTATGGGTAGGTGGGACAGTGAGTGGTTGAGTTTGGATCAAATTAAATATGCTTGTGTTGATGCTTTTGTTTCTTTTGAGATTGCAAAGCATTTGAATATTGCTGCTGCTCCGTCCAGTCTGTAGCACGCGACTGTGACCTTCAGTTGCTTCTTATTCGGGTCGTCTTCGATGTCGAGTTATTTTGGTGCGATAATTGTTTCCAGGCAGATTTGTTTTCGTTCGAGCTCGTCGTTGTTCATTTCCGGTTAGTTGATTTAAGTTTCATTTCTGTCCGTATTTTATTTTGATATTCTCAGATCTGAAATCAGATATGTTTGATATTAATTTCATGTTTATCGTTTTTTATTTTTCAGTTTGTCTCATTTTTCTTGTTTTTTTAGGAAGAAATTGTTAGTTTAATTTTAATTTTATTAGATGCAAATTGAAATTTAATTAATTAGTTTTTTCAGTTTGTTCATGTGTTTTTATTTATTAAAAGAAATTGTTAGTTTAATTTTAATAGTGTTAGATTCAAGTTGAAATTCAATAATTATTTTCTTCTTCGGTTTGTTTTTATTCGTTTAAAAGAATTTAGTTGTAATATAGAAATATGTCAGTATAATCGCTTGAATCATCCATGTTTGTTGTTTAATATAGATTTAATTCATGTTCATTTTTTGTTTGAAGTTCGTTTTTAATCTAGTGATTTAATGAGAGTTTATGTTTTGGTTTTTCATTTTTTGATTTAGTTTGAATCATGTATTTTTGTTGTAATTTTGTTGGATTTAATTTGAAGATCAATTGATTGTTTGAGTTTAGTGATTTGAATCTGTTCATTTATTTTTGTTTAAGTTTTAATTTGAATTTGAGCTCATGATTTGAATGTACTTGTTTGTTATTGTTGTTGAATCTGAAAGTAGATTTGTTGTTTAAAGATTGTTCAATCAAAATAATTCCAGTTGTTTCTTTGTTGTTCATCATTTAGTTTGAGTTTGTTCATAAAATTTGATTAGGAATTGGTTATAGCTACTATATTTTGGTTAGAATTGATTAGGTGAATTGGTTATAGCTGATGGGGGTAGATTGGTAAATTGCAGTATTTTCAGGGTTAAAATGGTAATTTCAGTAAGGTTAGAGGGGTATTTTTGGAATTAAAATTCTGAACAATTATTTATTTTAGTGCTCTGTCCATTAAGATTAAAAAATATTTTTTAATAATATTAAAATAGTACATGGTGGGGGACAAGACATAATAGTGGGGAATTATGCAATTGTTTAATATAGGCATGGAGAACAAGATATAATGGGAGAAGTATAATGTATTTGTTTAATAAAGTGGGAGACAAAACATTATATAGTGGGATTAAAAGGGGGATGAGTGGAAGATAATGGATTTTAATTTTTTAAAAAATGCTGAAAGATGGTAATAAATAGGGAGGACTTGGACAGATTTGAAAAAGAGGAGATAGATAAAAAGAGAGAGCTGAATATTGAAGAGAGAGAAAAATTCCGAAAAATATAAAAACTTCAAAAAATACAAATAAAAACATTTTGGAAATTAAAAGAGAGAGTAGTATACACCTGATATACAATTTAAATATTCTGATATACGGATTCAGAAATCAAGGGTTGAACAATTAATTAGTCTTTCAAATCTGAAAAGATTCCCTTGGCTTCTGTCCGTTGATTGTTGTCGGTGTTTCTGGATTTTTATCTTGATTTCAAAATCTGTCACTGGTTTCTCGTTGCTGGTTACTGGTTGCTGGGTGTTGCTGTTGCTGTATGCTACTGAATTTCTGCTGATCTCCCTTTTCTTTTGCTTCCAATATCAGGTACACGACTGTAATACTAGCTATTGCAAGTTAATAATGTGGAAGCATGAATACATATGAAGAATGGAATTTTGAAGTGTTAACTTCGATTTTTCTTTGTTCCTTTTATAGATTGTATTTAGACTATTTCATGTATTACTGAATAATAATTGGAATAAGAGAAAATAACATAAGTTAGTCTTTAATGAATAGGTTTGGCAAAATGGGTTAATTCACTAGTTATGAAGGTTTTAAGATTATCAACAGTAGGTTAATCGTGAAACAAGTAGCTAAATTTGGCTAAGGCATGAATTTAAACTAAATTTCGTGAATTAGGCATTAAGGCATGATTTTAGTTCGAACAAGATTAGAAGAACATTTAAGTTTAATAAACTTTCTAATAAGCTTTAGTAATTATGGTTAAATCTAGTTTCAAATAGTTGTGAATAATTAATCTCAATAGTTTTTTTTATAACAATGCGAGTTTTAATTTAGCTATATTTGATTCTTTTGAATATTAGTTGTCGAATTTTTATTTTATTTCTAATTTCGAATTTTTTTAAGTGAAATTCCTTTTCATCAATATTTGTATTAATCTAGCAATTAGTACGCCATGCTTTATTAAAATAAAAAACAAAAAAAACTCGTAATTAATTAGGATTTTCTTTCTTTATTTTAGAGACTAATTTTAATAGAAAAATGTAGTCGCTTTAAGATTTGTCCATTTAAAATAAGTGAGATGAGCCTCGCCTAGTAAAATGTATAGATTGCGGGGCCCTCACAAAATGTATGTATTAATTATTTAGAACATCGGAGTTGTCCGTCTAGTGCAATTTTACGACCTTTCCCAAAACAACAATACGCTAGTCGCTCTAGGCGCGTCTTTAACAAATTATTTTCTTAAATATGGGTGTGCATTTATGTAACCCAAATCCAAATCTCAACGGAGTCAAAAGGTGTCGATAACCACGGNATTGAGACTCCCTATTTTGTTAGTGTCATACTTTGAAGAAAGAGAGAGGCCGGACAAGTTACTAAGCCGGATGGCCCTTTGGTTACCAGAAAGTTGCCCCCCTCCTCGATTCGAGTTGTCCGCTCGGGTACACAGTCTAGAACACCGACTCAGGTTTTGAACATAGAATAACATGACTTTATGACGGATCCCTAGTAGGAACGATTATTTCATCATGTTGCATTTGACTTAGGGGACTCAACACAGGGGTTGGGTCCGTCTAGGACTAGCAACCTGAAATGAAAAGATCATTCTGCTGCATCCTGTTTGCTTTATACGTTTATTTGCTTCAGACTTGCATGCTGACCGGCTTCGAAAAATCAGGAATATTGGAAAATTGTGAAAAAAGAGCGAAGTAACAGTGTAGAGAATTAATTGCCTATTTTAGAAAGAAAAAAAAACAATACCCAAATACTATCAAAATTCTTTTATTTCACTCAAAAAAAAAAAAGAGAGTCTTTTATTTTAAGTTTGGAAGAATAGGTTTCATTTTGGTGAAATGAAAAAGAAAAAAAAATCCTCACTTTGTCTTGTTTTCAAAATAAAAAGAAAAGAAAAGAAAAATAGTTTGTCTTGCCATGAAAAATGAAAATGAAAATGAAAAAGAGTCTTCTTTTTAAAATGGTTTTTTTATTTGTTTATGAAAATGCCAAAAATGAAATAAAAAGAGTCGTGCGTTGAACGTGATTTTATTATTTGTTGCAATATATATATATATATATATATATATATAAATCCAAAAAATATTTTTTTTCTTTCTTTATTTCCTTTCTAGAAAAGTTTTTTTTAGACCCCCAATTTTCAAAATAAAAAATCCAAAATATTTTCCATTATTGATTTCTTTAGAAAGTCTTTTTAATTTTTTCCTTTTTTTTAAAAATAATAATAAAAATAAAATAAAAAATAAAAATATTTTCTCTTAATTGCTTCCAAAAAGTCCGAAAATATTTTCATTATTCTTTCAAAATTGAAAAGAAAATTCAAAATTCAAAAATATTTTTAGAACCATTTCTTTCATTGAAGGTAAAATTCGAAATATTTTCTTTCTTCTTTAGAAGTTTTTCTTTCGAAATTCAAAAAAAAAAAAAAAATTAAATCTTTTCTCTTTAGAAATCCTTCTTTGCAAAAATGCTCCCTTTATTCTTTATAAGTCCTTCCTTCAAAAAATAAAAAAAAAATTAGTTTATTTACTTTATTCATGATCACCCGAACTACGCCGGTTTGATTCTCACAGGGTGTGAGATACGTAGGCAACCCTCATCGGGTCCAACTTCCCATTTTGTAAAAACGACCAGAAAAGAAAAAATGACAAAATGTTGCCACTTTTATAAAAGAGTCGGGTGATGCCGTTTTTTGCAAAAATAGCCGAATGTTCCTATGCGGGACGTCGGAAGGCTGACATTGCATAAATGACCATCTTTGTCATCATTTTTGATTTTTGACCGGTTGACTCTCGCAGCCTTAAAATCTTCGTTCCCGAAGTGCTAAAAGGCCGCATTTGAAAACCGAGTCCATCGTTTTGAAAAAAAAAATCTTGGAAAAGAACATAGATAGTTTTATTTTGAATCTAATAAAAGTTTTTCGTTGGCATAATCACCTTAATAAATGTGCAGGATGAGCACAATACAAAACAAACTCTTTTCAATAATGACCAAGATCCCTTTTGAGTTGCGATTATGGTGGAATGACCTAGGCAAGGAAGGGCAAGACAAAGTAAAGAAGTATCTGAAAGATCTCCCGGATTTACTAGACATCCAGCCTCGAGGTGATGTTATCAGATCATTGATCACTTGCTGGGATTCAGCACACAATGTATTTCATTTCTCGGACTTTGAGCTCACCCCAACATTGGAAGAAATAGCGGGATACATCGGACGTGATAAAGCTCCGTTAAGGTTCAAGTACTTGATTGCACCCAGGGCCGTCACTGTACACCGGTTTTTGGATTTCCTAAAAATACCCGAACATTTCACCATCCAGATTTTGCAAAAGGTTTCTGCAGTCTTCGCCTCATATATGCTAGATACGGCCACGTGGGCGGATTCAATAAGCCAGACTTCAAACTATGCAGTAGAGATAACCGACAGAAGTGGGATGAACACAGGCTGGTAGCTTTTATGATAGCTTTTTTGGGTCTTATAGTGTTCCCAAGAAAAGATGGAAACATTGATTTGAAAGTAGTTGGGGTCGTCAGGACCTTGCTCACCCAAGATAAAAGCACTCTAGCGCCTATGATTATGGCTGACATCTTCCGGGCTCTCACTGCTTGCCGAGCCGGGGGCGACTTTTTCGAGGGATGTAACCTATTGTTGCAAATGTGGATGACCGATCATTTATGCCACCGCTCCCAGCTCTTGGGTTACGGTTCGCCCGAGAAGACTTGTATTGGAGAATTTTACACAAGAATCAAAAGGGTTAGTCTACCCGAGGGAGTCACAACTTGGACATCATTCTTCCGAACTCTCACTGCTAGCCAAATCCAGTGGACGCTCGGATGGTTGCTTGTTGAGGAAATCATATACATGCCGGCAACCAGGCCCCACTTTTTGTTGATGGGACTTAAAAGCATCCAACCCTATGCACCGTATT